AGAGATGAGACGGTAGGAGAGCTGACAGGTGTGTCTGTACGGGACTCCTATAGTAGAGATAAGACGGTAGGGGAGCTGACAGATGTGTGTCTATATGGAGGCTCTGTTTTAACTGTGCATGTGTAGCAGTTATTGAAGATGAATGTGTGGTTTATTTTGTATTGTATTGAGAGCAAACAATTATATCAGCAAACAAACTTAAATGAAATAAATTTCGATACAATATAATCTGTATTTTAATAAACACATGAGTGAGTGGGATAGGTTTTGTGACATGTTATAAATGGTACATACTGTGATGTGTTATACTGTACCTGGGCAATAGAGTGATGTGCGATGTTTTTCTTGTTTCCTGTAATAAAAACATTAATTCTATTTTCTTCTTTTTTTCTTACTCTTCTGTTTAAAAGTACAGGAGTGCTGGGTGTCCATACAAAATTCCCTCAAGGGACAATAAAATCTTATCTACAGTATATCATGATTAGATGTTACATCAGCTACAATTGTGTTTATACTGTGTGCATGTGGTGATGGGTATCCTACAGACAGGACTCACTACAGTCTATAACAGCACAGACTCATTTATATCTCATTTAAATATACTGTGTGCTTGTTGTGATGGGTATCCTACAGCTACAAACACAACACACAGGTGTCACAGGTGTGGAGGTAAAGACCTTTCCTGGAGGTATAAACACTTACTTTGGTTCTGCGAACTTCATCAGGCTCATCTCCCACTGAGAGTGAGTCCCCAGTCTCAGGTATCCAGAGTATCCAGAGTGACAGATGTGTCTGTCTCAGTATCACAGGTGGTACACACTGTTGAATACAGCTGTCTGATCTTCTAAGAGGACCTGGCTGCTGTTTTGACACCATCGTCATGATTATGGGCTCGTGATGGATGAGGTGTGATGCTGCTCACTGTGTTTAGAGTCCGCTGTGACTCTCGCGCTGTGCGGACATCTGGGTTCCTCTGCTTGTTCAGGATCCCTGTTTCCTGTATTTTAGAATATTGACTTCATATCGAAGTCTTATCACACTGCTAGAGAAAGTGTGGATCATCTTGGATCAGAAGGGACAGGCAGTGAATCCGAGAGGACTCTCTTCCTGTTGTGAACTCATGACTTGCACTGATACTCCTACATCCTCTCCATCTTCGGGAAGGACATCGCCGAGAACATCCTCGTCCGCGTCACGTTTGTGGACGGGAAGGACATCCCTGTCCTGGGCGTCATCGAAGCCGCGGGCCTGCCCTGCCGCAAGAACCGGAAGGGCAAAGCGACGCACCTCGACTTTAACAAACACATTTAAACCAACATAACTACAATTTCACTCAAAATGTCAGACGCAACTGAAATTAAAGTGGCCTTCGAGATCAGTTCAGTGAGCTCAATAATACAATTTTACACCAACAGACCCACAATTTCACCACAAACACATGGAGCTCAAACCTCAAACTTGTCGAGATCAATGATACAGACGCTTTTACACAATTTTACAATGATAGACACTTTTTACACAATCTGACCTCAAACCCACCGAGCTCAATGATAAAAAGACACTTTTACACAATTTTAACCTCAATGATAAACAGACACTCTTATATCACCACTTACCTTGGTGGTGGTGGAGGGGAGTCCTCAATCTGTACTTGAGCTTCAATCAAAATTGAAAAACCTTGGAGTTATATTCGATTCTGGCTTAACATTCGACCCACATGTGCAGCATATCGTCAAAACATGTTTTTTTCACCTTAGAAATATCGCTAGACTACCCCCTATGCTACCACTGTGGCTGAAAAGCTGATCAACACATTTGTATTCTCTCAAATTGACTACTGTAATGCTCTACTTGCAGGGGTATCAAAATCTACTCTGAACAAACTGCAGTCTGTCCAAACCTCAGCAGCCAGAATCCTGACCAGGTCTAGTGCAAGTGATCACATCACTCCTATCCTGGAGTCCCTGCACTGGCATCCAGTCAAATTCTGTGTGGACTTTAAAATCCTCACGCTCACCTGTAAGGCTCTGCATGGCTTGGCACCTCAGTACCTGTCTGAACTATTATCGCCCTACTCTCCACCTC